CTCTCTTTTTTAGCTTTTCACCCATGTGATTTCAGCTCTGATGCTATCTTTGCATGTACTGTGCCTCCGGCAGCATTGCAAATACGTCTGTGTTTCTCTTGCATGGACGCCTTCAGTCCAACCTGTTTCATCAGACAGAAGCATCATATGGGGAAAACTGCAGCGCTTTCCAAATGGTATCTCCCATAACCGACAGGAAGACCTTGTGATTAACATTAATTTGGCAAAGCTGAAATCGTCCCAAAGGGAATCATGCTGCATAATCAGATGCTTAATAGCAGTTAAAGGAAACTTTAATGAAAGAAAATACCTAGAGAGTAGTAAAAGTACTGCTCCATGTTTATGCAGGATTTCTGTCCAGCCACAAGCACTAAATGCAATGCAGAGAACAAGAAAGCAGCATGTAGCCATCAGAAATAGAGTCTCTGGAATCACTGAGACCCATATCTGCTGAAGAGGGTCAATGAATGCAAAAGTCCTATATGTCCTCAACCTGGCTTCAGAGGAGAATACAGGCTGGGGTCTCTTGGTGCTATAGGAGCATAGGCTTTGGTGCAAGTCAGGCTAACCCCAGGTGACTAATCGTGCCTTTATATTTGCCTAGACAGACTGCTTGTAGTACAAGGTAAAACTGAACCAAGAACATCAAAACACTGTAAAGGTAAGTTATTGTATACTTAAATTATTACATTTCCAGGTTACATGCTACAAAGGAGAAGGTGAATGTACTCCAGGCTTTCTATATTTCATGTACTTCAGGTAATTATTAAAAAGAAGGTCATTCTGTGTTTTATAATTTAAACACATTGAGGTGCAATGGAAGGAAGAATCTGGCTGTGTGTCAGTGAATGGAAAAAACGTAATCTTGAGGAATAAGCTGTGCAGGTTAAGACAAAAATCACCAAATGAGAAGGTCATACAAAATTGTCTGTGGCCAAAATCTGACAGACCCCATACCTGGCATGGTGCTGTCACTCTCAAAGTCTTACAAAGATATAAACAAAAGTGGAAATTGTCCATAGTCTTTTGCAGGGATTCAGAACACTGTGGTTTAAGCCTATAAGGTGTATGTTGTTTTACAGGAGAGGCTTTATAAATGTTGAGGATCTTCATGCATCTCCTAGCTCAAGAAAGAACATCACACTGCTCTCCACTTAAAAAGTGGTCATGAAAATAAAGGTGACCAACGCACAACTGTTTTGCTTAAAAATTTCAGAGTACTACAGGAATTCTCAGTGTCCATCCATGCCTATGGATGCTGTATAGCATCCGCACAGCTGCTCAAAAAAGGCTTCTGAGGGTTTTACTCCTCCATACCCAGCAGAGGGTAGTAGATGCTAGAATTTGCATTTGCCAAATTAGCTGTCATTTGGATCAATCTTCAGCTATGAGTTTGTTTCATTAATATCTCTCATTATCTGAAGTTGTCTCATACCTGCAGAGACACAGGGCAAATTCAGTGCAATAACACAAGCAAAACCAGTTTTATGTATGCAGTAACTGGCTACTTCAACCTGCAGGCAAATGAAGGCAGAGAAGTATGTTAACAAGCTGCACCATAAGTCATTACAGCAACATATCCTTGCATATCATACATATTAAAACTCACGCTGTATACCAAACATGGTAAATTTGCCCAAAGTAACAAGTTACTTAGCTGATTTAATTCAAAGAGACAATGTTGGTTTAAGAGGAACAGATAATTTTATATGCTACCTCTGCTTAAAATAATTTTATAGTCTACCTGTGTTTAAATAAATAGCTAAATTATGAACTATGGGAAAACATTTTAAAACAAAAAATGTCTTCGTTTTCTAGTTCCTTCATGCTACTTTGCCCTTGTAAAGCCAGTTTCCCTTGTCATTTTCTTACGTCTTCTCCTGTCTCTGTCTCTCTCTGTTCAACCGACCCATAGTTTGTCCTGGTTTCACTAGGGTGACTGAAAACCCTGCTTGACTTGTAGTTCTTAGGTGTTGATGCTGCAGTATTTGACTTATTGAGTATTTGACTTAATTGAGTTATTGAGTATTTGACAGTATCTACCTGACCAACCTAGTGGCCTTCTATGATGGAGTGACTACATCAGTGGGCAAGGGAAGAGCCCTTCTGTAAGGCCTTTGACATGGTCCCTCACAATATCCTTCTCTCTAAATTGGAAGGCTATGGAAGTGAAGACTAGTCGGTGGAGAGGATAGCTGATGGGTGGTATGGTCATATCCACACGGTAGTGCTCGATGGCTAGATGGAGAGATGGAG